GCATCCAATATAAGTGATTTCATCAGCATTTATAATAGCTTAAAAACATTTTGACTTTAATATAACTCTAACCCCTGCAGTAGCATACTTTTCTAATCCTGCTCTTGATGTGGTGGTGTGAAAAACCGCACTGAACACAAATTATTCATAATTCACAAACTGTTTTCTAGTAATGTGATGTCTATGCACAAGTACAATATTTATTTAGCAGCGGTTCGGGGTCCGGCTTCTGGAATGGTCCTAAATTTTGTGTTAGCACTTTGTAGTCAGTTCTATGGCTCTTTGCTTCCAGCACTGCATAAAGACCAGTACTTTCTCAATAAGTTCCGTAGTCGATCCTAAAAAAAGTCCCATTGACAAACTGGTTAGGTGATCTCTAGGGGTGATCTTGGATCTTGCCCCATGTCCAGGATTGATGGTGATATTACTACTTCTATTACTGTGTTTTTTGTTTTCACGTGCAAGATAATTTTTGCAGTTTATAACGGAGTGCCGGTTATAATAGTAGATTGGCTTTAGGCAATGATCCCTGGATCCCTCTCTAGAAGAAGAAAGGACTTCTGGATATTTGCTATACAAAAATGTAATTTATCCAGTAGTCCTTTTTCCTTGCATGGATGCTTATTAACAGTATTATAATACAAAATCAGGGAAGCTGGTAAATAAATTGAAATCATGTATAATTGTTAATTTGCAGGATTTCTGGCAGGAGACAGAGTGCGATGTCCTTGGCATGGTGCGTGTTTTAATGTGAAAACAGGAGACATAGAAGAATACCCTGGATTGGACAGTCTGCCCTGCTTTACGGTAATAACAGCCACATATGTGCAGGCGGCTTGGCCTCAGTTTCTAGTCCTGGTCAACCTATGTTAAATGTAATATTAACTTTTATAAACTGTTTCAGCATAATAGAATTCTGAAGCTGGTAATCACCGTGTTAATTTTTCTAGATGTTCATGTTCACTTAAGTGTTAAAATTGTGTGTTAAATGAAATTTGTATGTTAAAATAGTTTTTTGGATCTGATGCATTACAGGTGAAAATTTCACTGTGGTCATCCCAAAGGTGGCCACAGACCCGAGTTTACAGTTGCTTGTTGCAGGCAGCACCAGATACTCAGCACTTGCACAGTGTTTCAGAGGTCTGAAAGAATGTAAACTTTTCTCAGCTGTGGCAGAATAAAGCCATTCTATGAAAGCCATTCTAAGATTCCGCATTCTAATTTTGTGCATTTCTTTTATCATTTGTTGATGGGGAACATGCAGTGCTTTTTAATCAGGAAAGGCACATACCTTAACACTAAAGTTTTTTTAGTTATTAATTTTTTTACAATTTTTTTTTGTATGTTCTACAGCCCCAGGAACTTAACATACCTGGAATGAGGTGTGTCGCATGTCCTGGTGGCTGCTGCTTATTGTAGAAATCCACCGCTGGATACCCCCTGCAGTGCTTTATCTTCTGGTGCTGTGGAGTTAACAGCAGCCGCTGCCAGTCTAAAAGAGTCTGCAAAATATGCGCTGTTCGCCCGTGTCCTCTCTCCTCCATTCATAGAAGTTGTACTGTTTGTCACAATGCAGCGCCACCTTTTTTTGGAGGAGGTGGATCCTGTCATTCATCCACCCTTTCTGCAAGCACATTGCATTTAAGGGAGGTAATGGTACAACTGTTCTAAATAGAGGAGGAAGGTACGGGTAAGCGACGCAACTTTTGGAGACTCTTTCACACTGGCAACGGCTGTTGTTAAGATCAGCGCTGTATGGGGTATCTGGCAGCTCTCATGGGTGGACTTCTACAATAGGCATCAGCCACCAGGATATGGGACACACCTTTTAGAAGTAAGTTGTTTTCCTGGGGCTTCATAACAAAAGGAATGTAACTAAACCTCCAATTTCATGTGATTTTTTTTTTTTTTTTTTTTTTTTTTTTTTTTCTAAAAACAAAACACAT